TGTTGCTTTATTCTAGGCTTTCAATAATTTTTTGAAACAATGTATGTTTATCTTTTTGAAAAGAAAGAAATAAAGTTGTCTTTATTCACAAATGTGAGGAAATGAAAATTTCAAAGGCATCAACACCACCAATGACACCAACAAACTGAGCATGAATAAGTATGCTATAGCAAAGTTCCAATATTTGTATCATATAGAAATACTTAAGTTTATCTAATCAATTGTATATGTATATGCTATTAACAATTAAAAATTAAAATTTTTAAAACTATACCCAAAACCATGAAAGAGCTAAGGTTAAATTTGATCAAATATATTTACAGCCTGTATCTGGAAACTGAAGTACACTTCGGAGGGGAAAAAAAGCATATTAAAAGAAATAAATTGGTACACCCTATTTCTCTGAGTAATGTTTCTCACTGTGGCTCACAGGACCCACTACTCTTAAATAAATGCCAATTACGTCCAAATTGACTTTGTTTTTAAAGATTTGAAGTCCTAATTTATCATGCATGCTGCTGTAGCTGCATGTCGTGGAATAAGAACCAACCCATAGTTGACCCTCCAGTGAGTTTTCAGAGACAGTAAAACACACAAGAGAAGACTGTCCATCCTCCTTTTACAGAGCAGCTGATGGATTCGAACCATATGCTTTAAGGATTGCAGCACAGCTCCTTTCCACTAGGTCATTAGAAACTCTACCATGCATAGTCAGTTTATACTAATACTAAAGATAAATATAGCATAACTTTTCTTAAACTATTAAAAGTACTTAGAATAATTTGATGAAAGAATATTCAGCTATACTAAAATAACTGAAGTTATTCTTTAGGGAATTACTCTTAATGTCACAACTGAAGGGCATTAAACAATATATCTCTAAAAAGTGCACATTTATAATGTAGACTATTTACATTATAGTCTATTTTTCATGATAATAGGCAATGCTTGTTCTTTCAAATATCATCTAAAAGTGTAAAGAAATCTTTCTAGGGACATACTAAACAAAATCTCTTTAATATGAAAACCATATCTCTAGTACCAGAATTAAAATATAAGATACTTACAGCTCCTTCTTGATCAACATCAGCTCCCATGGTCAATAAATGTTTCACACATTCTAAATGACCCTTTCTTGCAGCCCAAACCAAAGGAGTGGTTCCATACTACCAAAACAAATGGCAAATTTAAAATTATTATTAGAGATACACTCAAAGACACAAATGAATTTTCATGAAAATAACCTTGAGGATTCTTAATTCTTAATTGTTTACACCAATTGTAATTCTACACTTACATAAATCAAATTTCCTCATTTGGCATGAACTGTCTTTGATAAAATTTATTTCACTTTTATAATACATAGTAACTTTACCATTGTACTCCTAGTTTTCAATATAATATTGCAAACTTTCATTTCTTCTCATCTTCTACTACAGAGAATTAAAGGACAATTGTCTGCCTTTAAAAAGAAATACTAATAACTAAGTAACAAACCTAACTCTAAGTACATGGTTAATATATCTTTATTTTTATCATAATTATTATTACATTTTCACTGATAAGGAAACTGAGGTCTTGAAAGGTTAATTAACAGCTTCAAAAGCATAAAATTACTAAAAGGTAGAATAAGACCTATAGATGCTTCAGCAATAGCTATACCTAGCTTGGGCTTTGACAGGTGCTATTTCTACAGACAAATCTGCCTGTTCTATCAATATCCATGTACAAAATAGAACAAATAGAGGGCAGATGTATGTAAATCTCTTAGCCACGGGGGAGCTCTGGTGACTTAATCTACAGGGAGTTATACTGCTAACCCAAAGGTGTCTTTCATGTGGTGGATTAAACCCACAGCAGATCTGCAGGAGAAAGATGGGCAGTCCCCTTTCACACAATTTAGTCTCGAAAAACTCACTGGAAGGTCAGCTATGAGTCAGTTCTGACTCAACAGCAATGAGTTAGGTTTTCCCCTCAGTATAACTAAACAATTTGAGGGAAGGAGATGCTGTGCTTTAGGGCCTCCAGGACTATAGTCTGGATGGAAATCAAAGCCAACTGGCACAACACAGTCTATACGTAAAAATGTACATACACTCTGTTATGTCAGAGTAATGACTGGGGTCTTACTCTTGCCAGAAGCCAAGGTACAACTATTAGTCTCCCCACTGAGAGAAAAGAGGAAGTGAAGAAAAAACCCCTTGGTCGTGACACTGTAAGAAATGATGGTGCCCCAGCTACCACTGCTGACTGTTCCAAAAGCAATCACAATAGAGAGCTGAATGGAAGAGGAGAAAAATGTGAAAGAAATAAAAATCATGCTCACTGGTCTGATAAACTTAGAGAAAACTCTCAAGACCAACCTGCTCTGTAAATTTTCATTCAAATCACAATAAAGACTTCAAGAAAATTAGAAGATCATTACTTAGGACAGACATCTTAGCTTTTTAAAACGTTAGTGGTCTTCTGTAGATTTGCCTATTGCAATATATTGTTCAATTCCTGTATGATTACATGGACATTGATTGCAGCTCCATGGAGAAAGAAATTACTGAAAACTTCAATTTCTTCTTTACATATCACGATGTTGTTTACTGGGCCAGTTTTGAGGATTATATTTCTTCTTTCAGGTGAAGAAGGCTGTACAACTGAAGGCACTACTGCTGAAGATCGGTAAATGCTTCAAGATGTCTTCTTTTGTACCAAGCAGTGTTTTATCGTATGTAGATTACAAATTATTAATGCGTCTTCTTCAAATTATGTCACAGTTTTTCATGTATAGATTTTCAGATTTGTTCACTATACCTATTTAATAAGTAATGAGAAAGAACATAACCTTCCCACATCTTCTCTAATTCTGAACCGCCTTGTTCTGCTGGAAAGACTGCCTCTCGATCCATGTATAAATTCTACATGAACACAATTAAATGCTATGGAATTCAAATTATTTTTTTAATGTTACACCTAATTTGTTATATTTCACAGTCAATATAGTTGATAAAATACAGGTAAACATTATTCTGGTATTCTCTGTCAGTCAAGACCCAAGTGGCCTTACCAATAATATCCTCTAGTAAACAGGGTTTGAATGTCCAGCAGTTGCATACTGATGAGTGGCTGCAGTAAGTGTTCAATTACCTTCAGCAAAATCTTGCTGGCATTTGATATTAACAATGCTACTAGGTTGCCTTTCTTGTGACAAGCACAAATATGGATCGCTTCCAGGCTCTTCACCAGCTTCCGAATTTCTTGGCATTTCCTCCAAATTTGCGGACATAGTAAGCACTTCCAGTGTCTGTGTATCTCAAGTGTATTTCATAAATTTCTAGAGCCTTTCTTGGCCAGTCCCTTTAGTACTAGTCATTCCTTCATAGCAGTAATTCTTGATCATATGCTGACCTCCTGAAATAGCTGAGTGATCTGGAGAACATTATGCTGAGTGAAATATCCCAGTCACAAAAGGACAAATATTACATGATGCCACTGCTGTAGAATGGGACTGTCCTTGGGGTTAGGGAGAGACTGAGTAAGATGGGTTCAATAATGTATACTGCACTGAAACAGAGGAGGGAGAAAACTGTTTAAAAGAGATATATGACTAGGTATTTCTGTCATCACAGGAGTCTAGAGCAAGGGCTACATGGTGGAGGGGACCTGGGGGACGGTTTGTAAAACAAAGAAAGAATCCTTTCTTTTACTTTTCCATAATTTTTGACTCATGTACTTATAACTTGTTAGTCAAATTTATGTCTTCTAGGTTGCAACACCCCCATGATACATCTTCAAGGATATGAACATGTACAGCCAAGCACAATCAATAAGAGTGTATCTAAATCCCAAAATCAATCTCCATAATAGTCTATGTGTTTCCTACTGCCAAAGGGGCCCTTTAGAGTAGAGAGAGAAGATCTTCACCCTGAAACCCACAGCGTCCCTTTTCAGCAGGAAGTAGCTAAGAGAATACGCCATCCCCTTTTCCTTATGACTCAGGGTGAAGTCTCTCTCAGGGAGGAGTGATAGGGAATGGCAAAGGACACACTGACAAAGAAGATTAATCAGAACTGGCTTTGACAAGCACTGTGGCATTTGGACAAGAACAAACTGGGAGGAGGGTAGAGAGAATAGTGCAACGGTGAATGAATGGAAACCCAAAATCTCTGTAAATGTTTATGAAAATTAATAAAATATAGAAAAAAAAAGAAAAAAAAAGAAATAGCTGAGTGATGACAGATTCTTTTTGGTAAAACAACTTTCTCTATTCCTTTCATCTTCTTGTGACCCATCAAATTATTTTATTCATGGAATCCTTTAGTCTTGTGTAACACAAGGCTTCAATCTTTTCAATCTTCTCAGTTTGAGAAATGCTGGTGCATTTTCTTACCTTTTAGTTTTCTAATTCGAGGTCTTTGTATCATAAAACTTTGTCTTCTTAAGCTGCCCTTTAATAAAGCTCTTTTCTTTCATCATTTCTTCTCACTGCTTTGGATACTCTATACTTAGAACAAGTTTCAGAGTTTCTGTGAGATTTATTTGGTGTCTTCCTTTTTGCCTTTTAATAATATTTCACTTTCTTCAAATGTAATGTTCTTGATGTTATCTCACAACTCCTGACTTTTAGTCATTAGTGCTCAGTGCACCAAATCTGTTGTCTTAAACTCTGGCAAGATGTATTCAAGGTCATACTGTGGCACTACTGGATTTGTTTTTACACTCTTCAGCGTCACTCTGAACTTGTATATACACAACTGATTATTCCATGACAAGCCTCTGCCTGTATCTTAATTGAAGATACTTCTCAGATGCCTCTTTCAACTGTCAGAGTTGATTTCACTTCTGTGTGATTCATGTGACAAGGTTCATATGTAAAGTTGCCAATTATGTTTTTAAAAAAACCTACTTTGAGCATGTTGTCAGGAGGAGCCAGCCCTTAGAAAAAGATACCATTCTGGGAAAGGTGGAGGGTCAGATAAAGAGAGGAAGAACCTCAACAACACAGACTAACACAGGGATTATAACAATGATCGGAGATTGAAAGACTAGGGCAAGATTCAAATCTGTTGTTCACAGAGTTGCTATGAGTTATAATCAACTTGACAGCAGATAACAACAACAGGATAGATATCCACATGCCTTGATGTGAAACCTCTCTCTAGGTGGTTCCATATCCTGCTACAGTGTCCTCCCTCACACTCCTCTCCACACCACTCCACCCGCTACCTCAACAAGCCATGTGAATCCCTCCCTGCTCTAGCGCCTTCTGTCTTCATTCTCCTGTGTGCCTAATTCAGTGTCATCACCTTATTTCTATTAATTTAAGTTCTACCCTTTCTTCAAAGTCGAGATAAAATCTCAGTGTTTCAGTTAAATCTTTACTGGCTGTTCAGTAAATCCTCTCATCTCTAAATTCTTAAATCACTCCACTGTTATCCTTTATATTTTGTGTTTTTTCCTCTCCTCTAACTAAGAATAACTGCTTCTTTCTTTGTGTACCTTCTGTATTAAGTACAGATATTAAGCACTGCAAACAAGGGGTATTAAACATTTTCTGAAATTGCTTAAAAGTAATAAATAGGTATTATAATAGTGTCGGATTCTGATGGCCTTCTCTGTCAAAGTACACATTTTTATAAGCTAACATTAAAAATATCTCCAATACTAAAAAATGTGACTTTAGAAACATCAAGCTGGAATTTCATCTATTTTAGGCAATAAAATAAAACCTCATTAATCTGAACATGGAGAACTCTAGTGTGTATGGGAAGTTGTACTGCTAATCTGAAGGTGGCTCTTCTCTGATGGTTCAAATCCATCAGCTGATTCATGGAAGAAAGATGGGCAATCTCCTCCCTTGCAACTTATAGCCTCTGAAAACTCACTAGAGGGTCAGCTATGAATTGGTTCTGATTTGACAGGAATAAGTGAGTGTGAATCTGAAGAAGAAGACAGCCTATCAAATTATTCCAAACATAATGTTGTCAAACTTCGCATTATACGTATCTGTAATATTTTTCTTAAAGTTTTCATTATCCATTATATAATAGTATTGTGCATTACTGTTTAAAATGAGGGATAACATCAATAAGACAATGTTATAAAGTACTTGAAATCTTAAGTGTATTACTAACTTTCTATATATGCATATATAAGGAGTTCTGGTGGTCTAGTAGCAAGGAGCTGCACTGCAATCCCAAAGGCACGCGGCTGGAATCCACCAGCTGCTCCATGGGAGAAGGATGAACAATCTCCTCTGATGCAATTAATTGCCTTTGAAAACCAGCAGGAAGGTCAGCTATGGGTCGGTTCTGACTCTGTGGTACACAACAACAACAACACTTACCTGTTTAACCACCATGAAGGTCAAGATATGGAAGCCTTTCAACACCTTTATCAGGGTAAGCAATATTGCTTTGTTGTGTAGTTAGGTGCCATAGAGTCACCTGAAACTCATAGTGACCTTTATGTACAACAGCTCTGAAGCCTGCCCTGCCCTGTCCTGAGCCAGTCTCACTGACTCCAACACACCTACGCCCACTGTCCCAGTTACTGTATCAATCCATCTCATCCTGGGTCTTCCTCTTCTGTGCTGTCCCTCCACACTTCCAAGCATAATGTCCTTCTCCAAGGACTGGTGCCTTCTGGCCAAGTGCACAGCATATGTCAGACAGAGCTTCAAAATCCTAGACTCAAGGAGAAGTTGGTTTCACCCTCTCGAAGACACACTTCATTAGTTTTCTTGGAGGCCCATGGTATATTTAGGACTCTTCTACATCACCACACTCAAATACATCAATTCTTCTTCTGCCATCCTTAGTCATTGCCCAGCACTCTGATGCACAGGGCAAGTAACTGCGAAGACCATGGCCTGGATCAGGCACACCTTAGTCTCTAGAATGACATCATTGCTTTTCAGCACTTTGGAGGGTCCCTGACAGCAGCTTTTCCCAATGCAATTCATCTTTTGATTTCCTGACTGCTCGTGCCAAAAGTTCTGATTGTGGAGCCAAGCAAGCTGAAATTGTTAACAACCTCAATCTCTTCTCCATCTATCACGGTGCTGCCAACTGGCCCAGTGGTGAGAATCTTTGTCTTCTTGATGTTGAGTTTCAATCCATATTGAAGACTACAGACCTTGACCTTCTACAACAAGCACTTCAAGTCCTCCTCAGTCAAAGAAATTTATACTTAAAGTCTATTCCAAGAGCCAACAAAATGTCTAAGCTATAACTATTTTCTTATATTTAATTAAATAGTTATTCATTTGAAAAAAGAAGGTAACTCACAATGTGTTAAGTTCAAAAGCAGGAAACGGAAATGAAGTACAAAACATAAAAAATAAATTTAAAAAGAGCATTCTTTGCCTTCATGAACCTTATAGTCAGTGGTAAACAAGATACTTAGTAAGTCTATCACTATAACGCAATCTGCTAGGTACATTAATAGAAGAAAAAAGGAGAGTAAATACATTGATAAGAGACACTTAAGTTGACTAGGTAAGTTAAGGAGGGTTGGCAAAGAAAGTAACACCTCAATTGAGTTTTGAAAAACACATATAAATTTATCCAGCAGAGAAGATAGTAAAGACAATTCTTAGCTATAAATTGAGAAGGGTGGGTAGAGTCAAGACCCTATTTCCAATGTCATCCATCTTCCAAACAGGATCACACTGACAAATAAGAGAGGGTTTAGTATTTGAGCATATTTTTTGGGGGTACACAACTGAATAAAAATAATGATTTAAAAAGACTACTAAGCACAATGAACAGAATAAACAAAGACTTAGTCACAGAAATCCATAAAAATTAGGGGCCATTTTAGGCAATTCGATATACCTAAAAGTGCCTTGTAAGGAACTGTGCTGCCAACCCAAAGATATGCAGTTCAAATCCACTACCTGCTCTATAAGAGAAAGATGGGCACTCTCCTCTTGTGCGATTTACTGCCTCTGAAAACCCATTGGAAGGTCAACTGTGAGTCAGTTCCAACTTGATGGTATGCACTAACAACATATGAAGAGGAGAAGCAAGAAACAAACCTAGGAATATAGGCTGGAGCCAAACTTGACTAGTGGAAGCCATCAAAATTCTTTCAAAGCAAGAAAGAATACTGTAATCCCAATATGTGTTAAATGAGAGGACAATGGAAAGACAAAAATAAAATATTAAGATATTTCTGGAGATGATCACTAACAAGCTGAGTCTAAAGGATGAACTGAAGTTAAGGAAAAAAGGAGGAGGGCATTGTTCACATTCAAAGGCCTGGTACACATTCAAAGGCATGGAAGGGCTAAGAAAAGAGGGATTCAAAAGCCACAAGTTATTTGAAAGGCCACATGCAAGGCATGTTAGGACACAAGTAGTAGGGGGAAGGGTAAAAAAAGAGAGGCAAGGCCTATTTTCGTGAATCATATCAGAGAAATATAATTTCGGATTTTAAACACAAGAAAAAGAAAATCAAACTTCAATTTTTGGAAGACCTTTACAGCAATAATACAGAAAAAGTTAACAGCAATTAAATAAGATGACCAGTTAAAATAGAAAAAAAAAGGATGTGACGGCTACAAGGGAGTCCTTGATCTCTGTTTATTTTCTTGGTGAACCATACACACACACACAGAGACACCCCAAACCTGGAAGGATATTAAAACAAAATATGTACAAGGGCACTCTCTATGAGATGTTTAGCTATATAAAATGCATAAGATACATGAGGGAAGTTCCCCAAGATTACATGAAAATGTTTATAAATTCAGATACACTGGGTGAAGAGAGTATGTACTGTACTTGTGATATCAGACCTACCTTATCAGAGCAGTTGACTTTAGCACCATTTTGCAGTAAAAGATACACTATATCAGCATGGCCTCTTCCTGCTGCCCAAATGATTGGGTAAACACTATACTGCTGGGAAAGATAGGTAAGTAGTTAGGGACCCAGGCAGGGAGAAAGGGAGGTCAGGGTGGGTAGAGAGAGGAGTGAAGGCAAGGGGAGAAAGGAACAGAGGAGGGAGAAAGAAAATCTGTTAGGCTAATATTTGTAGATGTATAACTATGCAAACATTAAAGGTAATAATACAAAATAACTAGCAACAACAAAAAAAAATAAGTTATAGACCATTTTCCACTTTAAAGACACCAAATACTCATCACTCATCAATGGCAATTAAGGATGTGCTCTATTTTAAAGAAATATATATTATAAACAAATCTATCTTCATAAATTTAACATACATAATGTGATTAGCTAACAGATAAAAACACTATAACGAATGTCAAATCTTTCCTATCCAGCCCTCTTCCATTAACCTGAATAAAAGCCTCTCATTATTCAGCCTGGACAGGCTATTACACATAATGATCTCATCACATTTTTCAGAATACACAGAAAAATGGCATATCATTTGGAAAATACTTAAGACTGGTATCTCCTTCTCTTTAAAGGACAGATTAAGAATGCATTGCCACATAAAATAATTAAGGATTCAAACCTTTCCTTTTGAAATGTTATATAGTTATAGTTAACATTACAAGCCCTAGAAGTTGCTTTTATACTAATGAATTTGAGACATATACTTAGTTTGAGAAAGTCATTTCTCATTATGGTGTTTTCAAATTAGATTTTATGTCATTATCTTTCCTGAAAAGCAGATACCATCTATCTACTGTAAAGTCAAAACACTTAGTTAAGTGTTTCCTAAGATAACGTAACCCCTAACACTATAAATGGATTTTTGATAACTCTTACCAGACCAGTGACACTTGGATTGGCACCATGAGAAAGAAGCAACTCTACGACATCGGTGCGGCCTTTATAGCATGCCCACATGAGGGCTGTCCAGCCTCCCTAAGGAAAAGAAGGAGCAAAAGAGAAAACTTTACATTTTTATCAAGCATTTAAAAAGTCACTGGTGAAGTTCTTCCTGGGAATAGTCTTTATAAAACCATAGCTTTATGAAGGCAATACTATGGGGTTGCAAATACTCCAAACCACGAGAAAAATATACAACAGTGTTTGAAATAAATTACAATCTCTGAATTCGGCAAATGATGACTCTACAGTTTGCAATACATGCCAAAATCAAACTAGGAAATACTCAAAATTAACTCTTTCAAATCCATAACTTACTTTATCAAATTTTTTGAGAAAAATTTCTATCTCTAGAGTTCTCTTCGTTGGATGAGTCTAGATTATTACCAGAGAGGGATCTGTTTAATTAAGTTTAATTCCTGTATTTAAACACATTCTTTTAACTATCAGATCATTATAGCACCTTGTGTTAAGTAAGGGAGGGTGCTAAGGCAATGTCCTGAGAAGAAAAGATCAAATATGAATAAGTAATTTTTAAATTATAGAAACATTTTTCTATTTAGTTATAATACAATTCAATAGGAGACCAAAGCATACTAAGGAATATATGTGTGTTTTCTTTTAAAGTTAGTTTTGCTGTGGACTGTCAAGTCAGAACCAACCCATATAGCTCACCCTCCAATGGCTGTTCAGAGGCAGTAAACTAAATGGGAGGAGATTGTACTTCTTTCTCCCATGGGGTGGCTGGTAAATTTGAACCATCTGCCTCTGGCACAACTCCTTACCACCAAGCTACCAGACCTCCCTTTAAAATTAGTACCTGAATAAGTTCATATTTAGTTCTGAAACTATAAATCTCATAAAAATATAAATATCATCTTAAAAAAGATTTTTAAAAACCAGACTGAGCTCCCTAAGTTTAGAGTTAAATTAATCTGGAAAAGGCAAAAAACTACACAGAGTGAAAACAGACCAGTGGTGGCCAAGAATGGAAAGTACATAGAGGGATTATTTTTATAAAGATGCAGCATAAGAGATGTGTTGAAGTGAAAAAGATGTTTACTAAGGATATGTCATGGTGGGTATAAAAACTATGCCTTTGTCAAAAACCAATAGAACTGCATGCCACATGAAGTGAACTCAACAGTATAGAATTTTATTTATATTTTTAAAAAATCAGCTAGGTCATGGAGAAGACAGAATAAAGACCAGGGCAAACTAACTATATTACAATGAACCACATAATCATATAATTGCTTAGAAGCTAGCCTAAGTAACATTGAAAAAGTTATTTCTACTAAATAATATAATGGAAAAGACAAAATAAATATCCCATGGATAGCCAAAGAACAAAAAGGTATATCTTGGAGAAGGTGCAGCCAGAGCGCTCCCTGGAGGCAAGGATGGCAAAGCTCCGTCTCTCATACTTTATGCATGTTGCTAGGACAGGAGATATCATTCTTTAGAAAGGGACATCATCCTTGGAAGAGTGGAAGGTCAGTGAAAGAGAGGAAGACTCCCAATGAGATGGACGGACATGATGACTACATCACAGGCTCAAATGTATCAGAGACGGTGAGGATAGCACATGACTGGATCAAGTTCAGATCGGTTGTTCCCGGGGTCACTGTGGTACTCAACTCTATGCACCTAACACATCAACAAATACAAAAAGAAATACACACAAATACTGTATTATTGGGTAAATGTGTTCTTCACAGGATAGGGTTTAGCAATTCTGAAACTACAAACAAATACACAGAAAAGCTTACTCTTCCTTAGAGAAGAGTTCCACTTAACAAATGTAGAAAGAATAAGGAAAATACAAAATTGCCACAAAAAAAGATGCTGCTCTGGCTGCAATCCCGAAGGCACGTAGTTCAAGGCCACTGGCTGCTCCTCGGGAGAAGGGTGGGCAATCTCCTTCTGTGTAATTAACAGCCTCTGAAAACCCACTTGAGGGTCAGCTATGGGTCAGTACTTGACAGTACACAATAACAACAACATATCTACTGTAGATAAGATTTATGGATGAATGCTAAAATGAGTATGATGACTGAAAGTCTAAGCAGAAACAGGCTATCTGCATAACCTCAAAGCATTTTTCACAAAATAAATCATAATTACAAAAAGTACTTTTACACTGGGTGGTAACTAACACAATAAGAGGTTGATCAGATATTGCAATTATATTAATCATAATGTTATAAAACAAAATGAATGAAAAACTAATATTATTTGTAAATTTTCATTCATATAAAAATATAATAAATGTAAATTTTTTAAAAAGAAACTTTACAGTAGAGAATTCAGTCATATACCATTTAGCAAAAAGATCAAAGAAATATCAGCAGTAAATACATCTACTGACACTTTGTACTTTCTATCAGAGGGCGCTCTGATGGCCTAGTGATAGGGACCCCAGATGGCCCACTGCTAAGGAATTGTACTGCCAATCCAAAGGCACGTGGTTCAAATCTATGGGAGAAATATAGGCGGTCTCAGCTCACGTGATTTACAGCCTCTGAAAGCCCACTGGAGAGTCAGCAATCAGTCAGCTCCAACTCGACAGCACATAGCAACAAGATGTGCTAAGAGGGAATATTATCTCTGAGGCATCATCTCAGTAATGTACAATCTGCACATAATCATGAGAGACAAAAGACAAACCTAAATTATAGAGCATTCTATAAACCACCTGACTCTGCTGGTGGGCACCTGCCTAGTCCTCTTCATTGTACCAACAGGTTCAAGGACGCTGGAGACAATGAAGATGATGCAGGACAGGATGGGGTTCAGATCTGTTGTTCACAGGGTCACTATGAGTCATACTCGACTCAACTGCACATAAAAAAAGTCCTCTTAAAAAACATCAAGATCATAAAAAGGAAGCATTCTAGGATTTCGATAAATTTTTATAATTTTATCAATTTTTATAAGCATCAACATTTTAAAACACTTGCCCAGAAGTTTTATTTAAATCATGACTCCAACTTACAATGTCTCCTAGGCATGAACATATGGCATAAATATTTAACCTTGATGGGGAAAAAATGTCCAAGTTCACAAAATTAAAACATTAGAAGATAACATACTTTAAAGCCTAGCTTGTATTTCAATAACTTCTTCTGTTTAGTGCCCACCAGTTTCTCACAAGAAAAAAAAAATAATTCTCTGTAGGCCTCCTGACCACTGACCTGAGCTCTAGGGGACACACTCCACCACTCACAACCCCCCAATGTTCCCTTATCTACTCTTATTCTAATTCCAGGGACTCTGCCTTCCTTTACAACTTGGTAGTTAGCTCAACCATTCATTTGAGATTGTTGTAACTGTTGTGTACCACTGAATCGGAACCAAACCAGAGCTGACCTCTCGTGGATTTTCAGCGGCAAAGGAAGAAAATGTCCATCTTTTGTCTATGGAGCAGCTGGTGGATTTGAACCACATACCTTTGGGTTGGCAGTACAATTCTTTACCACTAAGCCACCAGAGCCCCCTATCCTTTGAGATTGTTGTTGATTGCCATCGGGTCAATGACAACACATACTGACCCTATGAACAAAAGACCTGAAGTCTTTCTATACCGAGTTTCCATAAGCATGTGGTTTAGGAAGTGGATGCCATTCCTGCTTCCAAAACCTGTCTTAAACTGGAAGCTACACCAAACACTGTCCACCATGGGTAACCGTAAGGGCATCTGACTCCCAAATGGCATAAGGCTCGGCATCACAGCAAACCCAGATTACCTCAGTACAGCAAACTGATGTAAGAGTGCTGTATGATTTAGAAGTATGTTCCTCCAAAATATAACAAAACAAGACCAAAATGTGGAATGAAGGAGCTCATCGAGTTTAAAACATGACTTGGTTTTAAAATTCGGTTGGAGATTGAGGAAACAGTAGAATACTCTCAGATGGGTGTTTTTGGTCTGGTGAGAGCCAATGGGAATGTTTGATTATGAAGGAAGGTGGAAAAAAGGAACTCATGGAGTTTAAACCATGCCTTGGATTTCACACGAGCACAATTAAATGTCCTGGGATTTCCATTTTTCTCATGGATGTGGATTGTATCCATAATCAACATCCATGGTACAGGAGGTAAAAAAATCAAAAGATGTGTTGTACTGGGGAAATATACTGTCAAGGAGTTTGTTAAAGTGTTAAAGAGCAATGGTGCCAGTTTAAAGACTAAAGTGTACTTGATCCAAGCCATGACATTTTCAATTGCTTCCTATGCATTTAAATGATGGACAATGTATAAGAAAGACTGAAACAAAATTGATACCTTTGAATTACTCTATTGGAGAAGAGTATTGTATATACCATGCGCTGCCAAAAGAACAAGCAAATTTGTCTTGGAAGAAGTGTAACCAGTATGTTCCTTAGATCCTTTGGGCATATTGTTGTCGTTATGCGCCGTTGAGTCACTTGCAACTCATAGCAATGCTATGTACAAGAGCCCTAAACCCTGCTCTATTCTGTGACAACCTCACTGTATCCAACACACCTACTCCTATTACCCCAATCACTGAGTCGATCCATCTCATCGAGGGTCTTTCTCTCCTACGCTGTCCCTCCACCCTCCCCAACATGATGTCCCTCTCTAAGGACAGGTCCCTCCTTGCAACGTGCCCAAAGTATGTCAAACAAAGCTTTAGAATCCTTGCCTCCAAGGAGCAGCCTGGTTTCACCCTCTCCAGGATGAACCCGTTTGTTCTCCTACCAGTCCACCCAAGACTCTTCTCCAGTACCTCGGCTCAAAGGCATCAATTCTCTATCATTCCTAGTCACTGTCCAGCTCTCTGACACATAGCACGCAACTGCAAAGACTATGGCTGAAATCAAGCGCACCTTAGTCTCTAGCCTGACATCGTTGTGCCTCAGTACTCTGGAGAGGTTCTTGACATCTGACTTTCTCAATGCAATTTGTCTCTTAGTAGTCTCTGGTGGTAAAGTCTGTAGTCAGCTGCACTGCTATCTCAAAGGCTGAGTCGCTCTGGTAGTTAAAATCTACCAGCTGTTCCATGGCAGAAGGATAGATAATCTCCTCCTATGTGGTGTACTGCCTCAGAAACCCACCAGAGGGTCAGCTGCTGAGTCAGTTCCTACTCACTGGTGATTAATATCAGCAATTCATAGTTGTCTGGTATTATTAATCCATCTGATCTAGTATGGCTCTTTTCACCAAATACTGATAACCAGAATTATATTGCCTTTCCACTTCATCTACCAACAAGGTAAGAATGTCTTATCTTTTACCCAGGTGATTAACATCATTATCTTCTCTCCAAACTCCAAAATCGTAAATTCTTGCTAATTTTTATTATTATTATATTAGTTTATTCACAAAATTAGAATACATTGTTTTCCAGAACAGATTCTTCCAATTCCCTGACCCGTCTTCATCAAATTTTACAACCCCATGATTAATCTCCCCTCCCCCTGTACATCTTCATCCCTCTGTTTCCCCTCCCTGGATCCTCATACTTACTCTACAATAATGGTCTTATACAGTATTTGTCCTTAAGGGACTGAGTTAGTTCACTTAGCATAATGCTCTCCAGTCCCTCCCAAGTTAGGTAATAATGGTAAAAATCACTGCTTCTGTGTGCTGTGAATTATTCCATAATTCTTGATAATTTTTATACAAGACTTCTACTGCAGTATATTTCAGTTTCTTCTAAGAGGATAAAGTTTTCTGTATCTTCCTATTAAAATGAGTATATCACATACTTTGCAAAGTTTTGAAACTATATATAACATAAGTGTGACTACTAAATTATAATATGCCATTCTAATACAAAATAATAGAAAGCTACAGTTTTTAAAAAAAATCAGACACTTGTATTTTATAAAACAAGTCATCACTAAGTAATGAATATATACTTCCTACATGAAGGCAGATAATTTTAAAAGTGGGAAAAAGGAAAGAAACTATTTAAAAGGATAGAAATTTTACAGAATAAAAGCATCCGAAACCATCCCTTTTTTCTAACTCTACTGCTTTAACCAAAAGGTTAAGGTTAAGGTGAAAAAGTGATAAATGATAATTAAGAATTTTAACTTTCTAAACATATAATGTGTATGTACATAGATAATAGCATGTCTGGACAGAATTACATATTTAAATGAATTTACAAATAGCACCTTGGAAATTATTACTTCAAACAGCTGAGGAGTTTTTTAAAATTATAATCTTAAAATGTATCTAAAGAAAACATGTTTTTCCAAAGTTCAAAAACACTGACATACATTGAAAAGTAACAAGTTATTTAACAAACTTTAGAATTTCAAACTCTGAAATAAGTTTATCCAAGAATAATCTTTAAAAGATTTATTATATCATTGGCTTTTAAAACACTGCTTAGAGTCAGTCATTTCAGTATCTAGTCTCATGTCCTAACTACATTGTAATATCATCTCACACTTCAAAATACAAAGTTTCACACACATAGAATCATTAATAATATTTTAGCTAATTAATAAGATACCGTCAGACACGCACATACCATATCTCGGTGCTCCAAATTAACCCCACTTCTGAGTAGTTCTTCCACAATATGCACATGCCCTTCCTTTGATGCTGATATAAGTGCTGTCCAGTTATCCTTGAACACACATAAAGAAAAGTTATTACTTCAGAGTCAACAATAACATTTCAAGTAAAGAAAATTAAATATGAATTTACATACCAAATGATCATACCAAGTTGACATGATCTGAATCACACTAAACTACTGTAACAGTAAAGCACAAGTTCCTGTAAGAAAGTATCTGTGGCGTGTATTCCTTCTGACAGTACAAAATGGTTCCACACTGTCCGTTCAGTCCTTTCACTGGATGTCTAATCACGTTATATAGTGGTTTTGGTTTTTTTTTCCAAAAAGGGGGTGGGGGAGAAAGATGACTGTGAAAACCTTAAAGCCAATCTCTGTGGCTGGCAACCATTACAATAAGTTAAAATTAAAGAGTCTATAATCAGAAATAAGAGCATATTCACAGGTCACTTAACTATAGTGAACAGATACAATGAGTTTAGAAATTATGTGATAAAGAACTTGTTCTCCTTAACTTTTTTTTTTTGTTTTTTGTTTTTTGGTTTTTTAACTTTTATTGTATTATTTTTATGTGTACCGTCAAATCAGATCTGACTGCTACAGGAGGAGATTGCCCCCTCCTTCTCCAGCAGAACATCTGGTGGATTTGAACCGCGTACCTCTGGGGTTGCAGTGTAGCGTCTTGCTCCTTAACGTTTTAAATAAAGAATATAGGTATCTCACTCTTTTATTCATGAGTACAATTTAATTCAAATGCTCATTCAATTTTTTTTCCAATCAATTTAAAGAAAATATTTAACTGTGTCACTTCTAAAATAATTCCTGGAAAATGAGAGGAAATATAAGACTCTTGGAATATTAATTAATAAAAGCAAACTGGATGGAGGGATGTGTAGGGAGGAAAGTGTACAAGAATGTATAAATGGAAATCCAAAGTCTCTGTAAACTTTCATTTAAAAAAAAGACAAGAAAAAGTATTGATTAATAACTTGAATTGATATTAGAAGGAACTACATCTGTTTGGACCTGAAGCGCCTACTGCAGAGTGTCAAGGACTGCAGCCTACAATATGGATTGAGGCTCAATGTCAAGACGACAAAGATTCTCACCACTGGACCAATTGGCAGCATCAGGATGGATGGTGAA